CACTGGCCCCAAACATCCCCTTGTCCATCTCAGTGAACTCTAGTGACATGTCTCAGGAACTATGAAGGCTTTCAAAGTTTGTTAGTGTCAACAAAGGTGTTTCAAGGCTCCTAAAGACTTTCCCTTCAGGGCCTCTGCCACCACCAATTGCTCTGTAGCCTTGAGTGAGCCAGCAATGCTGATGGTTGTGGGGGCCTGCGGTGGCTCCCAAAAGTAAGCTGTGGCAAGTGCATGGCCTTGGAGCCAGAGACCCCCGGGGCTGATCCGCAGCTCGGCCACTAGCCAGCTCTGGGACCCAGGATAGTGGACTCTGCTCCTCTGAGCCCGTCTCCTCATTGGTAGAATGTGAACACCATGTTGACCCACAGGGTGGCTGAGGGCATGGTACCACATGAAAGGGCCCAGCATGATTTCCAATACTGAGTCTTCAATGCTTATTTATTCCCTTTCCTGTGGCTCTCCACTCTGGGGCAAGCTGGGCACTTGTTCATTAGAGCTGCTGCCCTATGGAGCCCCTACTCTGTGCCAAGACCTGCACCAGGTGCCATCCCTGATGAGCATGCTCCCCGTGCTCTATCAAAGAGATTGGGGAGGCCACCCCAGCCTCACAGCAGGTGAAGTTGTATTAGTAGACTGAGGATGGGGCGGACTTTTATTTCCACCCTCTTCCTCCAAAGTCATTTCTCTACCTTTGCTCCAGCTATTCCCTCATCTCAAGTGCCCGCCCCTGCCTGGAGGATTCTCCCCATACCTCAGATGCAGCTCAAGTCCCACATCCTTGGTTAGGTGGCTGGGTATGTGAGCTCTATTTAGACCCAGCAAACCAGCTCCCACCCAGCTCCTCTGCCTTCAGGTATACCTGATATCTCCTTGGGCAATTTATTTAGCCTCTAAACCTTAGTTTCTTTATATGAAAAATATTAATAATACTTACCTCTTAGATTTGTTGCGAGGCTCCTATGAGGTAATGCACACATGATACCTGGAACATAGTAGGTATTCAATAAAGTTTAAAAAATATATTTTAAAATGTTTTTTTTATTGATTTTAGAGAGCGAGGAAGGGAGAGAGAGAAACATCAATGATGAGGATCACTGATTGGCTGCCTTCTGCATGTCCCCCACTGGGGACTGAGCCCACAACCCGAGCATGTACCCTGAATAGGATTTGAACCGTGACCTCCTGGTTCATAAGTCAATGCTCAACCACTGAGTGACACTGGCCAGGCCAATAAACAGTTCTTATTGCTACCCCTAGCATCCCCTGAGCTCTGGGTTCCTGCTTATAGTTTCTTATGGGGGTGGTTCTGACACTTCAGCTAGCCTGGAAGCTCTGAGAGCAGTGCATGCATTACTTCTCCAAGTATGCCCCACAAAGTGGGCCTTATTCAAGAGGCAGAGGCAGCCAGGAGTTGGCAACAAGGACTGACTTTGCTCCTTTGTGAGTAATGAGGTGCCCAGACCAAGGGCTTATTTGATTTTTAACAGCATGAGACGGAGCAAGGGGCTGAGTATGAAACAGTGCAGAGGACTTCCAGGGGAGTCCTGAACCAGCTATGTTCCCTAGCTGGGCCTCATTTTCTTGCCATTCTATCTATGGCTAAACTGAGGCCCAGAGAAGTGGGTAGACTAGTACTGTGCCACATTATAGAGCTCAAGAAACTGAGGCCGGCAAGGGCAGAGCCTAGAGCCAAACCTAGGCTGCATGCTCTGAATCCTCACCTCGTTCTCCCCCACCTTGCCTGCCTCACACATGTAGGTCTGCCTATGAGGACAGGTGCAGGAGCTTTGTGGCAGCGACTGCTGTTGCTATTGTGAAGGGGATTTGCAGCACAGGACACAGTAAGGCATAGTGATCAAGACTGGGTTTGAGGTCAGACAGACCTGACTTCTCTTTCTGGTCCTGCTGTTTACTAGCTGTGTGACTCTGGGCAAAGGGCTTGACTTCTCTGTGCTCAATTTCCCCTATCTGTAATGTGGGAAAAAAAATCTAGATATATAAAAGCCTAAGCGACCTTTACGACCGAACGACCGGAATAACTGGAATGACCGGTCGACCAGTCGCTATGATGCGCACTGACCACCAGGGAGCAGACACTCAACGAAGGAGCTGCCCCCTGGTGGTCAGTGTGCACCCACAGGCAGCCAACCTCTCTTGGTTACTCCCTCCGGCCTGCAAACCTTCCACGGTCCCTCCCTCCAATCCGGCAGGCCCTGTCCAGCAGCAGCAGCTGGCAGGCCCCATCTGGTAGTCAGCAGGCCCCCAAGCCCTGGCCTGCAGCCCCAGGCCCTGGCTGGCAGCTGTCAGGCCCTGGCCAGCAGCTGGCAGGTCCTGGCCAGCCCGGCCCCGATTGCGACTGTGCGAGACAACCCCAATAGGCCCTGATTGCCGGCCAGGCCTAGGGACCCCACCCATGCACGGATTTCATACACTAGGCCTCTAGTAATAAATAGAGTGGGGGAAGTGCCTCCTTTATGGGGTTGTTGTGAGGATTAAACAGATAGCTTATAAAGCACGTAGCACACAGTGGACATTCAATGCATGGCAAACATGAGGAAGGAAGTGTGATCTGAAACACCCCTGAGTGTTTCCAGTTTGTAATCCTGAGTTGAGACTGCCACCTCCAAATAAGGAACCAAGACACTTTTGCAGGAGTAGCAGGAAGGAAAATCGGGAAGAAAATCGAAAGAGTATCACTTTGCTTATAGTTTGTTCATTCCTTTAATTTTTAAAAATGAGTAAGCAGACAACGGTGTGCCCTTTGAATACCCAATAAAAATGTTCATTACGTAAAACAGTACAACCTTTTTCATTTTTAATAATACTGTAAATATCTCAGAAAGGATGTATTGTTTCTAGTGAATATCAAAAAGGTCTTCACAATGATGTTTCCCTCGCCCCCACATTTCCCTCCCCACCCCCCCACAAAGTTACCCAAATACTAGCAGGAAATTACAAAAAACAAAGAACACAGGCCCTCCCTCCGCCCTGCCCTGTTAGTCGTGTTAAGTGAGTGAGATGTTAAGTGGTGATGTATGTACAGTGCAGTGCGTGCCAGGAGGCTGCGGGCTGAGCGTCCGTGGGAGCCATGGGGGGAGAACCGTAGCAGCAGCAGCAGGGAGACACCCTCCCCAGGACCTGTTGGGAGAAGAGCAGACAACAGCGGACACGAGCAGGGGGCCCAGCTGAGCCCCGATCTTCCTGGGTCCATTTCCTGGGTCCACCCGATCAAAGAGCTCAGGGAGGGGCCAGGCAGGCCTGGCTGTGTGTGCAAAAGGGGAACCAGAACCAGGTGTCCCACCTTCCTGGGCAGCACTGGACATCCCTCTCAGCAAACGTGGGCTCAGATGGGGGCGGTGCCCAGAGCAGAGAAGCTGGGAGCTTGGGAACTTTTGGATGAGTCAATCACACAGGTTTGTTACAGGAAACGTAAGCCTCAGTGTGGACAAAGCTTGCATTTCCACCAAATAAAATTGGGAGCATAAAGGAAAAGGATAAAGAATGCACCTTCCACCCTGGCTGGTTTGCTCAGTGGTCAGAGCGTCTGCCCATGGACTGCAGGGTTGTGGGTTTGATTCCTGGTCAAGGGCACCTACCTTGGTTGCAGGTCAATCCCTGACCCAGGTTGGGGCACATGCAGGAGGCAACCAGTCGACGGATCTCTCTCACATCGATGTCTCTGTCTCTCTGTCTCTCTCTCTCTGTCTCTGTCTCTCTCTTTGTCTGTCTCCCTCTCTCTCTCCCCCCCTTCCACTCTCTCTAAAGATCAATCGAAAAAATATCCTTGGGTGAGGATTAAAAAAGAAAGAAGGAAGAATGCACTTTCCCTTTCCCCAAATAACTCAGAATCCAAGGTAGAGACTTGATGTAAAATCCAATTAAAGGAAAAGGAGAGCGATCATCCAGAGAGCTATGGAAGGAGGCAGTCTCCCCCAGAGCCGGGGCCTGCACAGAGGAGGGGCAGGGAGCCCAGTCTGCCCTTCACAAGCACTGAGGCTTCTCAGCACCTGGGAGAGAGGCTGCAGGAAGGATCCCCAGAAAAGGGTGGGGAAGAAGCTTCCTCAAGGTTCCAAGGTTCTGCTGGTGACAGGAAGGAGGGGGAGGAATGGAGGTATCAGCCAGGGGGAGAAGATGTGGCAGGAGCTGGAGGATGAAACCAGGCTCCAGGCCCCCATAGCGCCTTCTCCTGAGTGGCTGGGGGAACGTCCTACAGTGCAGGTCCTTCCTGGCTGGGACATCGGCCGGATGTGCAGCTGCAAGAAGAATAGAGGCTGCTTCCTAAGCCTGAAAACCAGCACCCAGGCAACCCAGCCAGTGCAAACGAGGGTGGAGAGGCAGAGCTGAGGGAGAGAGAGGCAGAGCTGAGGGTGAGAGAGGCAGAGCAAGAGGAGCCCGACAGGGGTCAGAACATGGCTGGTCTCCAGAGAACGGACCACTCATGGGTGAAATCAAACTAGAGTTTTGGGGAAAACACACATCACCACCACACTGTTTCCATGATAAACCTGATTTAAAACAAGCCGGTGGAAGGTGGGTGCAAGGATGACTACCTGAGAGTCTTCAGAAGCATCCAAGATGAATGGCAGATCTGCAAGCCAGCAAGGCATCAGCCAGAATCCCCCAGAGAGGTGCCAGGTAGGGAAGGACCCGGGGATCGCCTGGCCCAGCCCTCACATTCAGGAGACAGGGAAACCGGCCCAGGGAATGGAAGGGCATGCCCAAGCCACTCAGCAGCTACCAGGGGACTTTTTCTTCTCGGACACAGCCTTGCTGTCTGCAAACCCACTGCTAAGAGGTTGGGGATGGGGAAGGAAGGGTTTGAAGGAAAGGCCTCCCACTCCTGGAGGTGGTGAGGAGGGGGCAGCAAAGAACAGGGACAAACATGGGGCATGGACTGGCTGAATAAAAAGCTGACAGGAGGACAGGCGTCGCTCCCACCCCACCTGCCCACAGCCTGAGTATAAAAATTTGATCATATGATACATTTTTTTTTCTTAACCCCTAGAAAACACCGGTTAAAAGTGTCCTAGCACAAGATTCCGCTAGTCCCTGTACAGTATTAACTCTTCGTAATGTTACTTACATGATAATTGGGGGCGAGGAGGGGAATGTGACTTTAAAACAGTGTACACAGCCACCTTAAAATTAACTTGTTAATAAGTCCTGTGCAAAACGAGCAAGCCTCTATCATTAGGTGAAGTACGCTTTCAGGTGCTCTCTTATACCCCCGGGGAAGGAGAAGGAAGCAGAGGCATCCGAGGTGGCAGGTGGACACTCAGAAGTGCGTCTCCTTCTCTGTGATGGCGGCAATGGTCCCATCGCCCTTGAGTTTGGCGTCACAGTCATTAACCATCACCGTCCGTGGGCCTGCCCCAAGCTTGCCTCTCATTTTCAGATCAGCACTGGGGATCACCAACTTCCGGAATTTCTAGGTGGTTGGAGTGGAGGAGAAGAGCTGTGTGAGAGCGGCTGCCAGGGCCCTGGGGCCTGCCTTGGCCTCTCCCAGCCTCACGGTGAACACGGGGGTTGGGGAGTGGGTAGAGGGATAGCTTGGAGTAATCAGATTGAGGTCCAGGCCCCCGTTCTGCCACTTAGAGCTTTCCTGGTAGTGAACTGAGTTCCCTGGGACTCAGTTTCCACATCTGGAAAATGGGGACAATGGAGATACCCACTCCTGGCATTTGGTGAGGAGCAGGGGGTGCAGAGGTGCTCAGCCTGTACCTGGCCCACTGTAGGTGACTAGGAGGAGATCAGGGCCGACTGCCCCATCCCTTCCCTCTGAAGAGACAGAGCAGCTGGTCCGAATCGCTGAGCGGCCACTCACTATCTCTTTTGGGCAAGTCATTTAACTTCTGTGAGCTTCCTTTTCCTCATCTGTGAAATGGGGTAATGATACCTGCGGGCAGAGCTATTGTGAGGGTGAGCGAAGGCATCTCTAGGGCTTTCTATAATGACTGCTGGATAAATGGAAGCATTTCCCACAAACGGGATGTCCTCATGCTGCCACCACCCAGGGGAACATGTGTGTGTGCCACTGCTCCCTGGGCCGCAACTGGAAGGTGTAGAACTATCACTAATGCCAACACTCAAAGCCACAGCCTCATTCACCTTGTAGTGTGGCCGGCACTGGGCTGGGCACGAATGGAATGGCTATTGCCCCACTATACTGATGAGGAAGTGGAGGCCACAGGCAGACTCACTCCTGCCACCACAGCCCTGCCTTGGGGGTCCCATACTTCAGCTTCCTGCGCATCCCCTAGTTCCCTCGAGGGAAGAAACCAGGCCAGGATTTAAGAGATCTTTTCTGGGCATAAACCCTTTCCCCAGAAAGGCTGGGAAGACTTTTGGGTGACTGATTTCTTGTGATTAAGGTTCTGTTTTCTCTTTCAGATCCTGCCAGGCCGAAGAGGCTGAACCTATTTTGCCCAAGTGGGGTTAACAGGCACGGCACCAGGCTCCTGACACAGGACAGGAGTTAACAGCATGGACTTGGGAATCAGGCACCTGGTTTGAACCCCAGAGCTACCATTTAACCGGGGCACAAAAATAACATCTCTGTGTCTCAGTTTCCTCCGGCGTCAAAGGGGGATAATTCTGGTACATGCCTTCTAGGATTATCCCCAGGCTCAGATTAGTTGATTTAGCCACACATTAGCACAGGATATCTATATTCACAGCAATTCTCTGAGGTAAGGGCTATTGACCCCAATTTTCCTTCCAGATCCTTCCTGCCAGTTGGCAGAGCCTTCTGGAAATGGAGGGGGGTAGATGAACTGACACAAGTTCTCCCAGTAGGGAAGGGCTGGAAACCGCCGAAGACTTCACCGTCTTTCATAAGCCCCATCTCTGTGCAGCAGATATGAGAGCTTAGCGAGAAAGAGGGAGCTCAGCAAAGTGGCCGCTCCCTCCTCTCTCGCTCCCCTCCAAGGCAGGCCTGAGAAAACCTGGAGAACTCTTCAGGGGACACTGGCATTTCTAAATACCGAAAGGCTGGGAGGTTGGGCGGGGCCTGTGGTGGCCGAGGTGTTAGGGCTGCAGGCCCACTCTCCCCTGGATATGTTTGGTCCCAAATCAGAATTGACCAACTGCCCTTGACCCACATTTCCTGCAGGTGCCAAGGAGCCTGACGCACTCTGGGAGCACAAGCAGGCTTGCTCCTTTGGGCTGGATGCATAGCTTTTTCTGGAGCCCAGGCCCCTTGGTGAGCAAGCAGGCTAAGTGAAGCCGCTTCTGAATAAGCAATCACATCCGGATGTCTACACACACCCCCTCACCCCCATCTCCCACTGACCTTGTTCTGGGAGATCAAGGTCAACCCCCGAGATCCCTGGCGTGATAAGGCCCACAAATGAGTGCAGCCAGCTGAGTAGAGAAAGGGGCCCGTAAAAATCAGGGGGTGAGAGCACAGACTTCCCAGCCTCTGCTTCACCACTTAGAGGCTGTGTGCCCTGGGGTAAGCTGCTTTTCTCTGTGCTTCAGCTTCCTCATCTGTGAAATGGGGACAATAAGAGCTTGCACCTCATAGGGTTGCTATGAGGATTAAATGTCTCGGTGCTTGTAAATGGCTTAGAATAGTGTCTGGCACACTATTTTATAGCTGAAAGTATGTATCCTCTGACCCCCTTCACCCATTTTGCATACCCACTAATCTGTCCTCTACATTTGAGAACTCGGTTGTTTGTTTTGTTTTTTTAGATTCCACATAATAAGTGGCTCAGTTTGCTAACTAAGTGAGAAACGGACTCAAACCATCTGATCCACCAGCAGGTGGGAAATGAGAGTAAACAGAGAGCGAGCGTTCTGGAAATAAGATGGCTTGGGCTATAATTCAGTCTGCCACCAAGAGACCACATACTGCACCATTCCACTGAGCGGAAGTGTCCAGAACAGGCAAATCCGTGGAGACATGTGGCTATCTGGGGTGGGAACAGAGTTAACTGTGAATGGGCTGGTGGGATCTTATTGGGGTGAAGAAAATATTGTAAAACTGATTCATGGTGATAAATGCACTATGCTGAAAGTCACTTAAAAAATCATTGAATTGTACTCCCCAAATGCGTGAATTTTATCATACTTAAACATACTTCAATACCATTATTTGACAATTTTTGGTTTCCACTATAGAAAATAGTATGGAGTTTCCTCAAAAAATTAAAAGTAGAACTACTATATGATCCAGAAATTCCACTTCTGGGTATTTATCTGAAGAAAAGAAAAATACTAGCTTGGAAAGATATATGCACCCCATGTTCATCACAGCATTATTTACAAAAGCTCAGATATGAAAGTAACCTAAGTGTACATCAATGAACAAATAAAGAAAATGACACACACACACACACACACAAATATTATTCAGCCATAGAAAAGGAAATCTTGCTATTTGTGACAACATGGATGGAACTTGAGGACATTATGCTAAGTGGAATAAGTCAGAGAAAGCTAAATACCATATGATTTCACTTATATGTGGAATCTAAAAAAACAAAACAAACAACCGAGTTCACAAATGTAGAGGATTAGTGGGTGTGCAAAATGGGTAAAGGGGGTCAGAGGATACACACTTTCAGCTATAAAATAAGTCTTGGGGATGTAATGTACATGGTGATTATAGTTAATTAATACTGTGTTTGCGTATTTGAAAGTTGATAAGAGAGCATATCTTAAAAGTTTTCATCACAATCAGAAAACTGTAACTATGAGCAGCATCGAACAGACTGTCAAACTACAGCGGGAAGGCTGGGGAGGGTTGGGGGCGGGAGAGGGGGTAAGAGATCAACCGGAGGACTTGTATGCAGGCATATAAGCATAACCAATGGACATAGGACACCGGGGGGGAAGGGGGAGCTGGGGGAATGTCGGGGAGGGGGGGGAAGGAGACATATGTACTACTCTTTGTAATACTTTTTAAAAAAAGACAACTGTAACTATGTGTAGTGATAGATGTTAACTAGACTTAATGGGATCCATTATGTTGTACACCTGAAATGAGTATAATGTATACCAACTCCATCTCAATAAAAAATTTTGGTTTGCTAATTTTTGGCTGTGTGACAATTTCTCTGAGCTTCAGTTTCTTTACCTATTAAATGAGAAAATGATGTCAGCACTCTGATTTGCTCTGCGGACTAAAGGAGAAAACCTGGCAGGGTGATGACATGGGATAGGTAGCAGTCTCCAAATATTAGGTCCTCTTCCCTTGCCCTGGGAATGGGGTCCTTAATGCATTAACGAAACAGCAAGCGCTAACCTGGTCACTCTCTGTTCCAGATCCTGGTCTAAGTGCTTTCCCTATATGAACTCACTGTGTCCTCACAAAAACCTCTGTAAGTTTGGGACTATCACTGTCCCCATTCTACAGATGAGGAAACTGAGGCTGAGCTCAGAGAAGCAGGCTCAACCCCGCTTCTGCGTAGTGGTCATGATGAACACCTATCAAGGAGGATCTGACTTCCCTGAGAGACATATGGGAGGTTGCTCTCATCCCACCCATTGCCCAGATGAGGAAACTGAGACCCAGAGAAGTGCCCACGGACTCAACCCTGCTCACCATCCTGTCCAAGGCAGAGCCAAGCCCCGCCCTACACCTCAGGCCTCTCGGGCCACCCTTGCTGACTCTTTCTTCCTCCCATCTCACCTCGAGCAGCGTCCCCTCTGTCTTCCACAGCTTGATGAAGATCCAGAGGGGGATGCAGAGCATGGAGGACAGCGCCATGAGCCAGCCTATGCCATAGCCCCAGGCGGGGTAGGTGTAGACGTTGTTATACTTGAGGGGCTTGTACTTGACCAGAAAGAAGATGAAGATGCTCTGCAGAGAGATGGGGAGAGGTCCCTGGGGCCAGTGTGCAGGAGGCCAGGAGTGGAGAGGACCCACCCCATGTGACAGCCTTGGAGAGGCAAGGCTCTGCCCTGGTCTACAGGGAATTTGAGGCCCATCCCACCAACATAAGACACACAGGGAAAGGACCCCCCACAGATCCCAGGACCTCACTGGGGCTGTGGGACTCTTCCACCCCTCAGGAGCCTTTGCCCAATCAGGATTTTTATTTTTCCTAGCTCTTTCTTGGGACTGGTTTCAAAGCTGCCTTTCAGAACTACAATGGTTGATGAAGATGCTTTCAGATACTTCCAGTGCCAAGAACTGGGTGAAGAGCAATGGGTTGTTTCTTATTCAACATCAGGTCATGAAGGCCTCTGATTCCACGGTCCGGTCAGAGGGCAGAGGGGGAGCCCCAATGCTACCCTCAGTTGTGCTGCTTTCAGAGTTAACAACAAAACCAAATGCCTCTCATAGAGGCAGGTCACAGCTACCCAGTTGCAAGTATAGAGCCTGAGGCTCTGAGAAGGGGGGTGACTTTCTTAGAGTTGAGCAAGCTGGTGGCAGAGCACGGACCTCAGGGAGAGGCCCCTCCCTTGCCAAGCCCAGGTGCTTCAGACTTTCTGAGCGCACAGAGGGTCACCAGGTGATGTCACCTCCTCAGTTCTAGCTCAGCCAGGTCTGGAGTGGAAAAGAGGGTGGGTGTGTGGTCACTTACCGCACAGATCCCGGGGGTCACGACCTTCCAGCACCATTTAATGAGTGACAATGGCCGGTAGCCAATCATGTCTTCGATGTTGTCATAGAAGCGGTTGCTTCCTGTTCCGAATAAAACAGGCACACACCCAAGAATTTGTACAAGACTCAGAGGGAAGGCTAGAAGGGGTTTGCTTTCCCCAGCTGGACACAGACAAACCGTGGCAGGGACTTGGTTCATTACTGCTTAAAACTCCCAAGACGTTATACCTATGTGAGGTTTCGGGATGAACTACAGAAGGAGGGATTCTGATCTGCTATTGGAAGGATCGCTCCTGACCTTGGACAGTGAAGCCCAGGAAACGGTGAGGAGTCTGTGGGAGAGAGGTGGAAAGTGGTCTCTGGAGAAGCAGGGTGAGGTGCTGGCTGACTTGCATGGAGGCCAGGGCCTGGCTGGGCTGCTAATGAGCAGAGTGGCTGCAAGGGCCAAGTTCACAGTAGGAATATCCATCGTCATCAAATGTCCAACTCATTCCAGAAACAGGTGGACCAGAAGGCAGGTATTTACTGAGGGCCAGGCAATGTGCTGCCTGCTTTGCCTACACTATCTCCTACTTGGAGACATAATGATGATGATGACCCCATTTTGCAGATGGAAAAACCGAGTCTCAGGGCAAAAGAATTGGCCCAAGGTCATAGTCCCTAAACCTGAAACCCCTCTCTGTGTTGTGGGGGTATAGAAGCAGGAATGTGGGAAGGGTCAAGCAGTCTCTGAGGGGAAGGAGGATGAGGTTGACATTGATGGAGATGGGCCGCAGAGAACCTGAGCCTACCCCTGCTGTGGGCGCCTGTGCCCTGGGCACTGATGTCACTGAAGTGTGGGCAGGCTTGGCCGTGACTCACCGTATACCCAGCCGATGCAGACACACTCAAAGATGGCCACAAAGAGAAGGCACATCCCACTGGCGGCATAGGAGTCAAAGAGCTGGAAGATGTACATGCCACCCTATGGGGTGAAAGGACAGACACATGGACAGAGAAATGGACAGACACATGAGGGAGCAGGATCAGCCAGCTGGCCTTGGGAAGGGCCCTCTGCTCTGCCTTGTGCCTACCATCAGCCAGGAGTCACATCCACCAGGGCAGACTGCTTCCCCCTAATCCCTAGAACATTGCACCCTCTCCCCCTGGGTACCCCTAAGACACCATCCTCTGGGAATTGTTGGGATCATAATGGTTTTTCTTGTCTTTGCTCCCCAATGCTAGAAACAACACAGGAAATCAGAGACTGGAGGTTGGGCAGCCTTAGCACCTCTCCCTAATGGCGCTAACAGCCTCCCTGCCTCCTCCCCAGCCTCAACCTCTCCAATCCTTCTGTGCACCAGCTTTCACAGGGACCTTGATGCAAATGCAGCCATGCCACTCCACAGTTTGATATTGCCCGTTGGCTTCCTTAAGCCTGCCAATCAGGACCGCCCTCCTCACTTGGCCTTACCACCCCTTACCACCAGCCACCCTCAACATGTTCCTTCCTGGAAAGACTGAGGCACAGTCTCATCGCTCTGCCTTTGAACACGCTGCTCCCTTTCACTTGTAAGTTCCTTCAAAGCTCAGCTCAAATGCTACCTCCTCCAAGAAGCCCTCATTATTTCTTTGCGCTTCCACAGCATGTTTTTATGAACTTAGAATTTAAAAAAGTATTCCCCTTTCAGTTGGTGCTGAACTCCGGCTGGGAAGGCACACCGGTCCTCTTTGTGGCCCTCATTACAGAGCCTGGCTCACAGCAGGTCCCCTGTAAGTGCAAACTGAATTGTGTAGAGTGAGAGACCAGGGAGGAGGGACTCTGACTGGCTTGTCTACACTGTGTCCCCGTTTTGGCCCAGGCTTGGCACAGAGAGGTGTGCAGTCAATTTTTATAGGAATGACCTGGGCCAGTTCTATAAAATACAAATCTGTGATGATTAAGTTCAGTGGGAGGCCCAGGAGGTGCACACTCAGCTGACCTATTACAGGGCAGGCACTATTGTCATCCCTAATGTGCACATGGAAACACGGAGCCACAGAGCAGTGAGAACACTTGTTGAACATTGTCCAGCTAGCCAGTCATAGGGCCGAGGAGTGAACCCAAGTGGCCGTGCCCTTAACCACCCACTATACTGCCTCGGTGGAACATAAGACATTTGTGGCCTATTTTTTCCCTAGAGCTGAGCTTTAAATGTCTATAAAAGAGGGAGAAGCTCTTGCCAGCAATTACTGTGAAGGCCGTGGCCGACACGGCCCATTTGGCAATTTGAACTTCCCCTGTGTGATTGCACCGATATTCCTCTGTGGAGGCAGAAGGGCGACATGTGAAGTCATGGTCTCAGGCAGCCAAGTGTTGGCTTCCTGCAGGGCCCTGGGGGCTGCCAGGCACCCTTGGGCAGACCGAGGCTTCAGGTGGAGGGCAGACATGAAGGCTCCGAGAGCTGGTGGTGCCCAGGGCCAGAGGCCACAAGGACCTTGCACTGCCTGCGCCAAGCCAGTGCTGCCCCTGCCAACGCCTGCTCTTGCAGTCTTGTCCTCATCAGCCTCTTTAACTCGTCAGGTTAACCCCTAATTTGTGTGTGACAAAAGACTCTGCATAATTAATCAGCACTTAATGAGGCCCTGCTCACAGCAGCCCCGGTTCCTCTGCCTGGGGAGAAGCGAGGTGGCAAGAAGAAGTGCCACACCATTCATTTGCTCAAACACTGATGATCACTCCTATTAATGTGACAATGACTAGGAGCAGTCATCACACCAGCCACCTCGCAGCAAGGGCCCACTCCAGCAGGCCCTGGGGGGCTAGCGCCAAGCAAGGTCTCTCTGTGGACCTCAGGGTCTGCTGGGGGCAACCGTGGGAGGGAGGCTGGGCTGAGCTGGGAAAGAAGTGCTGTAGGGAAGGAAAGCAGAGGCGGCTTCCAGGAGGCAGCAGCATTTGGCTGAGAAGTAGAAGATGAGGAGGTTCAATGGGCGGACCTCGGTATTACAGCAGCTACTTTGACTGATTCTGCGTTTCCTCATTTCTTCCCATGTTTCTTATAAACCTCTTCTCGTCACTAAGCAACAGGCTCTCTCTCTCTCTCTCTTGCTTTTTAAATTAATTTTTTTTAGTGAGGATACCTAATGTCACCTTCCCAGGGTACTTGAAAAGTATTTATGAGCAGGATGGCTGCAGGTGGCGGAGAGAAACATGACTGTATGGTGCAGTCTTAATTTGAGGGTCATGATGAACTCTTCCTCACCCACAGGCCCTCTGGAGACAAGAAGATAGGTGCACAGGAGGCCTGGAGCTAGAACACCGCGTCTGAACGTGCCAAACATCATCGTGTGTGTCTGTTCTCAGAGGTGCTCCAGAAAATTCTGCTTTGAACTTTAGCCCAATAACAGTAACTAGTTGAAGTTACAAGTGACTATTGGGGTGGCCCATGCATCAATCCCAGCATTCTCCTCTGTGAGCTTTATTCCTCCCTGGTCATGACAGCAGTGACCTTTAGCTGAGCATTTACACAGCAACGCACTGTGCTGAGACTCACTGAGAACTTCCGTGCGATTCCCACAACACCCCATTGGGAAGATGAAAGACCCGAGTCACAGAGGAGGCACTAGACCTGGCTGGGACACACAGCTACTCCATTCCAGACTAGGATATGACGTCAGACCTGCCCAACCCAAAACCCAGGCACTTCACCCCGGTGCCTGTCCTCCATTAACACTCACCTCCGTTAACATCACGAGGCCTAGAAAATAGGAGACGACCGACAGGGCCAGGATCAGCAGCTCCCGCCGATAGCCCCTCCGGAAGACCTTCGGGTACATGTCCACCACGGCGGTCACAAGGCTTTCCACACACACAAACTGCATGGGGTAGACACGATGGTGTGAAGCCCAAGGAAAGGGGGATTTCAGTGGCCGTGACCATGGCGATCACAGCAAGCCTAACCCTGGGCTTCCTCCCCACGGGGCTTACCTTCATTCCCACACTCACTCACAGGGACGGAGGGCCCGGGAATAAAAGCACCAATCCCAGCACTTACAGGCCTCCAGGACCCTGAGGCTCAGAGAGGGGAAGTAACCTACCCAGGGTCACTCAGCAAGGAAGTGGCAGCGTCAGGACCTGAACTGGGGTCTCCTGACTCTAGTACTCCTTCTCCCCCATGCTGCCTGCCAAAAGCCTATGTGCTGGGCCCTGTCCTGGGGTCAGTGACGTAAATGAGGTCCAGCCCCTGCTTGTGAGGAAGACAGGAGTCCCGAGACCTGAGTGCTCTGTGGGCGGCAGGCTCTGGTCAGTCTCTGCGGGCAGGCAGCACTTGACTTGTGACAGCCCCCCGTCCTTTGCTTCTGGGTGGAGGCAATCAGAGCTAAAGCAGCCCCCAGTCCCTGTGTTGCCATGGCGTGAGTCTGGGGTGGGGAGGGGAGGGCGAGTGAGCAGAATCATTTCTTGGTTCCAAATCCTTTATGATTCATTTTACCTCCTCAGGAAAGGCACCTGCATCCTCATTGTGCAAAGGGACTATAGCACAGAGAGGGGAAGTGATTAGCCTAGCGTTACACAGTGGGCAAGAGGTGTGGGGCAGGGACTCAAACCCAGCCCAGACCCCAAAGCCGAGGCTCTACAGTAAGGTTTATCCAGGACTGAACCCAGACAGACATCAGAGCAGGTTCACTAACAGGCACACAGACCTGGGTGCATGTCCCTGTAAGCTACTTGGCATCTCTGAACCTCAGTTTCTTCATCTGCAAATGAGAATAACAAAAGGAGCCCCCAGCCTGTGCGGTTATTGTGACAAAGAGCTGAGGACAGAGCCCAGGCACAAAGCAAGTACAGCATGTGGGGGTGAGCAGAGCGGCCATCTGCCCTCCATGCCAAACCCCTCATCCCCTGGCAAACACAGCATCTCAGCCCAGTTGCTGGCCCAGCTCAGCCCAGGGACTCACAGAGCCAAGGCCCCACCCCACTTCCCTGCGCCCAGGCGAGCCTGTCCCTGACGCACACAAGCCGAGACCCCTTCTGAGGCCTCTACCACAACAATGAGGGGAAGATTAGGAACGACAATGGAGGGAGGATTATCAGCAGAAACACCCGGTGCCTCAGCAGCTCGGCCTGGCTTAGCAGTTTCTGAGAAACCATCCAGGGGAAGAAATTGGACTTGGATGGGTTGACAGACACACCAGCCATGGGGCTTGGAGCAAAGTGACTCGCACAAGGTCATGGTGATGGGCAGCACCTTGCAATAGACCCCAGTCTGATAGAGGAGCCAGGCGTTGGCTGGAGGACATTCTCTGGGGCTCTTAGGGGAACCAGCTGCGATGGAGCAGTGGGGCAAAGGTCGATTTCTGGGACTGAAGAGCCACTGAAGGCTACAGGATTCTGGCTGAAAAACCAGGAGAGGATTGCGAGGACAGGCTGGGGGAGTGTTACCGTGTGAGAGGGTGTAAGTGCATGCATCTGTGTGAGATACATGACAAACTGCTAGTCCTAACTATACACCCTTCCCTGAGGAAGGAAGACTGCCAAGTGGAGGGCGGGTTGAGACAGCCCTATAGGAACTGACAACAGAGGCAGGCAGGTGAGATGTGGGGGATGGGGAGCTGGTGGTGGCACTGAGGACCAGGGGGCTGCCTGGGGGATGTCATGGTGGCCTCAATACAGAGATGGAGGAGGAGAGGAGATGCTTTCCTATGTCCCTGGTTGAGACAGGGACACATGCTAGTCGGGCTAAGATATCTCTAATCACTGCCTATTTCCTGAGCATTTCTTCTGCTTTGCCAGGTGGTACCATTGGTATTTGCCAGAATGGAAGTATTTAACAGTGTTTTAAAAACTTGAACTGGGAGTTGGGAATTCCAGGTAAGGAAAAGAGTGTTTGGGAAGACTTGGAGGGACCCCAGTAGCTATGTTTGGGAGTGATTGTGGAGGCCACCTAGGGGATGGAGGGTGTGCTGGCAGGAAAGCAGGGTGGGGACAAAAGGCAGGGCCCTGATGACCAGGACCAGGAGGTGGTGACTAGGTCCAAGAGCCTCTCTGCCCTCCCGGCCTGGGCTGCCCCCTTCCTCTAGCACCTTACCTGGCTGTCCAGGCCCAGGAAGATGAGCATCATGAAGAACAAGGTGGCCCACAGTGGGGACAGAGGCATCATGGTGACAGCCTTGGGGTAAGCGATAAAGGCCAGGCCAGGGCCTGGAGAGGAAGCAGAGAGAGAAGGTGCTGGGTGGAGTTCAGTCCCTCATTCACTGTGATTCTAATCCATCGTGTACTGATGCTTCCTTTGTGCCAGGTGTTGCGTCTAACTCTCACTCAACTCACTTAAATCTCTCAAACACCCCAAGTGGTTGGTACTATTATGATGCCCATTTTGCAGATGAGCTAGCAGAGGCATAGAGAGGAAAGCCAGGGTCTGCAAGGGTCAGGATTCAAACCCAGGTTGGTCTAACACACAGACCTTTCTCTGAACAGACCTGTCTCTACTATTATCATCAGGGCGAGAAACATTCTTATGAAAATGCAGGTTCTCACGCCCAACCTAGATATTCTGACGTGGTCAGTCTGTGGTGAGGCACATTCTGCCTGGCCACCAGTGGAGGACTCGAGAGAGCACCTCACAGAGGTGCTGTAAGGACTTGGTGAGGTAGCGCATGAGAAACAATCACAGCAATCTATACTTAAGAATGTCGCACTCATGATGAATCTGCATCTAGAAAAGGAAAGGGAGAGAGAGGCTCTTTGAGCAGTAGGAACAGCATGTGCAAAGGCTCTGGGGTAGGAGGAAGTGAGCTATGTCACAGAAGTGAAAGCAGGCTACTGAGGTGGGGCACAGAGAGCATGGGGGGAACGCAGCGGATGAGGAGGGTGGGGAGGCCACAGGAGCTGGGCAATGTAGGAGCATGGGGCCATGCTAAGAGGTTAGCTCTTTGAGGAGCCAACTAAGGCTTTATATTAGAGAAGGACAGGATCAGACTGACACTGTGGAAAAAATTACTCTGCAGGGTAGCGTGTGGAACAGAGGGGTCACAGCGGAGGCAAGAAGGCCAGTGAAAGGTGCCTGCAGTCATCCAGGTGAGTGGTGATGGTGGTCTGGGCTGGTGGGAACAGTGGGGTTGGGGAAAAGTGGATGAAGAGGAGCAGCGTTGAGGAGGCAGAATCTACACAATGAATGGGGTTGTCACAGTGAATGCGGGCATGACTGGCATTAAGTAGATGAAGGCCAGAGAGGGCAGGCGCCCTCTGCTACTCCTGAAAAATGTCCCACCAGAGATTATTATTTTTTTAATGTTTTTATTAATTTTAGTGAGAGGAGAAGAAAGAGGGAGAGATGCGTGGATTCTGGAGTGAGGAGGTGTCAAAACGCAGCGGATGAGGAGGGTGGGGAGGCCACAGGAGCTGGGCAATGTAGGAGCATGGGGCCATGCTAAGAGGTTAGCTCTTTGAGGAGCCAACAAAGGCTTTATATTAGAGAAGGACAGGATCAGACTGACACTGTGGAAAAAATTACTCTGCAGGGTAGCGTGTGGAACAGAGGGGTCACAGTGGAGGCAAGAAGGCCAGTGAAAGGTGCCTGCAGTCATCCAGGTGAGTGGTGATGGTGGTCTGGGCTGGTGGGAACAGTGGGGTTGGGGAAAAGTGGATGAAGAGGAGCAGCGTTGAGGAGGCAGAATCTACACAATGAATGGGGTTGTCACAGTGAATGCGGGCATGACTGGCATTAAGTAGATGAAGGCCAGAGAGGGCAGGCGCCCTCTGCTACTCCTGAAAAATGTCCCACCAGAGATTATTATTTTTTAATGTTTTTATTAATTTTAGTGAGAGGAGAAGAAAGAGGGAGAGATGCGTGGATTCTGGAGTGAGGAGGTGTCAATGTTTCTCTCTCAGGTAATTCCCAGGGTCCTACTAGAGGACAGATGGTGGATCACCTCCTGAGACCTGACCCAGGAGAATGTGCTGAGGAGAAAGAATATTTTCAGTGTAACCACCACCCAACACCTCACCAACCTTTGGCACTTACCTGACTCTGCCACCTCGGCAATAGGTACCCCCTGCTCATATGCCATGAAGCCCAGGACCGAGAAGATGGCAAAGCCGGCCACGAAGCTGGTTCCGCTGTTCAGACAACAGAGCATGATGCAGTCCCTGTGGGGAAGCAGTGAGAGGAGCTCAGGTCAGAGGGGGTGGCACAGGCTGGAACATTCTGTCTGAGCACCGTGCTGTCTTGTGTGTGGGCAGGGCAGTGTGAACACAGATAGCACCATTTTCTGATGAAGCCCTTGTGGCTCAGAGCGGTTAGGTGGCTGGCCCGTGGTCACACAGCTTCTGCTGCGCTGTGTGATGATAAGTAGGTCACAGACCAGAACATGGAGAGGGAGTGGGAAGGGAGGCAGCAGAGAAATGGCAAATGGGAAAATGCACAACTAGTAAGAAAACACTTGGAAACAAACCACTGCCCCCCTCGCACTCCCCTTCCCTCCACCAAACCATGGAAAGCAGGAGAGGATTGATTTTCTAGGAGCTCAAAAAAGGAGGCCAGAGAAACCTCTGAGAAATGGATGCTTCTCAGCCAGGGAGCACCCACGGGCTGTATACTGCAAGCTCCCCACAGCCTCAGGAGAAGACATCCCTCCTGGCTAAGCTTTCTACCAGAGCAGCAGCCACAGACCTCACTGCTCAGTCCCTGCTCTGCTGCTGCTAGAAAGCAGCCCTTCCAGGTAGGCCCCTCATAGATTTATCAGATCAGTGACCGTCCCCTCTTCCAATGTCACAATGAGCACTAGATTAAGAACAGATTCAAACTCTCACCTCCTCTTCTCCTGACACTATACTTTTTGTAACGCAACCAAAGGGTACATAAATGTCGGTGACTGTTACACCCTGTTGTCTTGTAATGGCTCTGAGAATCAAGGGCACAGTGGAGAGAGCACTAGATGGGCTCAGGGTTCCAATTCTCTCTGCAATATATTTTCTCTGGTCCTGATCTCACCAGCTATAAGACAAGGTGCTTGGGTAGATTCAATCTATTGACTCTTGGGTCTTGTGACAGATTAAATCATTTTCCAGCAAGGAGCTGACCCCTACCTTCTTCCTTGAGGTGGAGAATATCTGACATGTGACTTGCTTTGGCTAATGGATATTAGCAAATATAATACAAACAGGGGCCACAGATATACTAGTACTTGTGTGATTTGATTTGTCCTTTATCCCTTCTGTGATTTGCCATGAGAAGAACTTCCACAGGAGAACTGCTGTTCCTGCAGCCTGAACCCAGAATATACCCATGTAGACCAGACTTGAGCCTGGCCTGGACCCTGGAGCCAAACCCATTCAACCCACAGCCCTAAGGAGAGCTTCCCCCACCGACCAGCAAACTTAGGTGCAATAATAACAAATGCTTGTTGTGGTAAGCCACTGAGTTTTGGGCTGTTTATTACACAGCATTATTGTGGCAGCGAGTGACTGCTACAGGTTCCTTTAAAGAACTCTCCTGGCAGTGTGGATGTAGGATGGACTGGTAGACATGGGGACTTTATCTGCAAGCCTGGTATACCACCTCTCAAAAGGAAATTCAGCTCACCCCAGGGTCAGGCAGAGTTACTCCTAGGATTGGAATGAATCTGCTCCTCATGCCTGTTTCTTGACCCTGACTTATCCAACAGTGGAAAACAAGGTGGTATTGGCGAGGAAAACGTTTTCTCCATATCCTCTGGAATTCTGTACCATTTGGATTTGCACTGTGTCCAGTCCTGTGCTAGGGTTTTTTGAACACCGTATCACAGAATCCAGAGGCTCAGGGAGGAGGTTTCGTAGTCATCAGGTGGTGAAGTTGAGATGTGCATCCATTTATCTCAGACACCAAAGCCCAGGCTTTTTCTACCAGTTACACAAAAAAGATTCTCCCTAAGAATTTAGACTTCCAAACCCTGACTTGTGGATAATTGTCTCTGGGCATCATATGGTTGCTGAGAAACAACTGTTCCTTATCACAAAGTCCCCATCTTGCCCCAGAGGCCTCATGAGCGGTTTCCTTACACCACAGGGAGGCTCTGAGATGACCTGAGGTCCCTTCCAGTCCTGTGCCCGGCAGCCCCCACCCTCAGAAGCTTAGCTGCATGAAGGGAGAACTTTTCCCACCTGGTTTGCTCTGTCTCCATCCCTCTAATTCCTCCCCCACAGGGAACCTTTTAAGTGAAAAGCTTATGTAACAAGTGCTGTGAAATTGGCAGCAGCTGAGCCAGCTTTGAAGACCTCCAGAAGCTATTATGCTGTCAGAAGAGAGGGTACTAATTTACTCCCTCTGAGTTGGGGAGACCTGCTAGCAAACAATTTGGAAAAGGAAATAAAACAAGCCTTCCTATTTGGCAATGTCACTTAGGGGACTGAGTTTCCTCGGCTGATGGGAGGAAGAGAACCCTGCCTATTGGACAGGGAAGCAAAAGGGATGATGAGGGACCAGCATATTCACCCACGTGCTCAGTGGGGAAGAAAGTTGCCTCTGCCTCTAGACACAGCCTGACAACCAGGCAGCCTTGGCCGAATCTGCACCAACTGCTGTAGCTGGGAAAGAACTGGTCATGTCTGGTAATGAGGAATAGAAAGACCAGGTTCAAAGCCACATTCCATCACTGGCAATGGGAACACAAGTGACATACCCTCGGGCCTCAGTTTCCTCATCTGCATAATGCTGTGGCCCTTCCATGCCAGCCAGCACAATGCTATGCTTGAGGGATGATGGCACAAGAGAAGAGCCAGTCCACGTCCTCATGAGCTGACAGCCTAGCTGGAAGTGACTGACAGTGACCAAGTGATTTCCTCAGTGCCCCGCACAGAGGGCCAGGGCTGAACACTGGCCGCTGAAGTGCTGATAAGTGTATGCAGACAGCATCCCTCTCCAGTATCCCAAGGGGGTCACACTCAACCTGGGCTTGAGGCTGCTGTGCTGCTCTCCCTGTCCCACGGCCTTTCCCTTCCTGTCCATGGCTACCACTTTGTGTTGTGGCTCACTGAGTGCTTTACCTCTCACCATCCCTCAGACCCCCTCCCTGAGAACACCATGGAGGTAGAAAGGATCTTATGGACAACCTGGCCTGACCTCTGTCCAGCCATACCTAATTACCTGTTTACCCAAAGGCCCACAGGAACAACACAACTTGCTGCCTAATTGTGTACTGGATTCCACTACAGCTTTTCTTTTCTGCATGTTGGGCCTTTCACTTCCTCAGATTCCCCAAGTTACAAACTATAGACTTGGGCTATGCCACTGCTGCCTGTATCTCCCAAGGTACCAATTCTGGTGTCTCACACTTGATAGACACATAATGCACACAGCCAACTGAACAAATGGGTTAATAAAGTATCACGAAGCCAGCTTTCCGAGAGGATGACACCGCCTGACTACTAGGGAGGGGAGAGAGGCTAGTCCAGCCGTGGGCAAACTATGGCCTGCGGGCTGGATCCGGCCCGTTTGAAATGAATAAAACTAAAAAAAAAAAAAAAGACCGTACCCTTTTATGTAATGATGTTTACTTTGAATTTATATTAGTTCACACAAACACTCCATCCATGCTTTTGTACCGGCCATCCGGTCCAGTTTAAGAACCCATTGTGGCCCTGGAGTCAAAAAGTTTGCCCACCCCTGGGCTAGACATTCAGTTCTATCACCGATTGCCAACGGTTTAACCAACCATGCCTATGTAATGAAGCCTCACACTCAAACACACAACACCAAAAGGGTGGGATTTAGAGAGCTTCCAGATTGGTGAACAGGCGGAGATTGGGGAGAGGCACTCAGAGAGGGCATGGCAGCTCCATCCCCTTCCCCACCTCCCCTGCCCTATGCATCTCTTCCATCTGGCTGTTCCTGAGCTACATCCTTTTATAAGAAACCAGTAATCTAGTGAGTACAATGTTTCCCTGAATTCTATGAGCCATTCTAGCAAATTAATTGAACCCAAATAGGGGGTCATTGGAACCTCCAATCTATAGCCAGTCAGTCAGAAGCACAGATGACAACCTGGACTTTCAAGTGCGGTCTGCAGGGGGGAGGGGCAGTCTTGTAGGACTCAGTCCTTAACCTGTGGAACTTGATGTTATCTCTGGTGCTATCTCTGATACTGTCTACAGTGTCAGAATAGAGTTGAATTGAAGGACACCCAGCTGGTGTCTGAGAATTGCTTGGTATGTGTGGGGGAAAATCACACACAGGAATTTTATTCCTAGTTTTAGAATGGTTTCCTCTTAAACAATATTTAACTCTTTAATCAATCTGAAACTTATTATGGTGCATATACGAGACAAAGTATGAGTATCTATCTTGATTATCCCCTCCAATATTCCGCTGTCTCAGAATCATTTGCTGAAAAATCCTTCCTTTCTCAACTAGCCTATGATCAGAGGTGGCTTCATTGCCGTTATTCCATGAGTTTGTGCTGGAATGAGGAGCTCTTGAACTCTAAGGAAGAGATGTGCTATCCAGCCATCCCAGAATATTCCCTTACTGTGACCATGGACCAAATTCAGGGGTGCAGAGACCTCAGCCAACAGACCATGGGTCTAGACTTGGAGGCCAGGATGCAAATGTCTGCTCCACCATGCACTGCTGGGTGACCTTGGCAAGTTCCTGTCCCTCTGTAAGTCTCAGCCTTGCAACAGAACTCAGACTGCTGGCCTGGGAGGCCAGACAGCCACGGTCAGACAGCCTCGCTCACCTCCCCCTGTGACCCCTCCTCCTGCTGGATGTGGGCAGCTGCAGAAGGCCTGGGAGGGCCCTGGCAGTTCCCTACTGTCAAATGAGAAGGGGCAGGAGCAGATTTATGGACAAAAGGCAGAAGTACAAGGCCCTTGGTGTCAGAAGACCTGGGTTCAAAACCCACCTTTGCCACTTACTAGCTATGTGACCTCGGGCAAGTCACTTACCTACCCTGGGAAAAGGGTGAGATGGAGGCCTGGGTAAGATTCCAGAGTGGATTCCTTTGCATCCTGGAATGCACTCTGATCATATTTGTTATTCTTCCAGCTCCTCCATGGCCTACTCTTTGATACTGGTGCAGGGAGTGGTTAAAAAATAGCCCATCTGTCTGGCTCCGCAAGGTGGGCTCTACAAATATGAGCTAGCTAGGCCGAGTGGAGAGCTCTCAGCGTTTGGTGGAAAGCATACAGGGCCCGGGGAAATGCTTACCTGTAGCAGTTGTTGTTGTAATTGTTATAACTTCCCAGAGCAGTCAGACAACCCAGGCAGATGGCATAGGAGAAAAAGATCTGCGTTCCAGCATCTACCCAGACCTGCAGAAAGGCACAAAGAAGTTGGCACAGAGAGAAGTCGGCTCTGTTCTCTGAAATCCCCCATCCACACCCACCCTCCAATGAGACTAGACAAAGGGATACCCAAACTTCCTAACCTTCTTAGGAACATGCTTTTTAGAAGTTCTATTCTTGGGGACCACTTGATTAAATATAAATTTCCTTAATTAATCCCAGAATTTTTCAGAGGTTATGGGTAATAGTTGACTCAATATTAAGGACTTGGATGTTTAGAGACCGACTGTGAAACCATGGAAGAGTCACTTAACCTTTCTGAGGTTTAGTCTCCTCATCGGCAAAGTGAGGAGTGAACTTCCCTTCAGGCGTGTTGAGAGGATTCATGCGATATGGAGTGTCGCTCCTGAGACTGGAGCATACTCACTGGCTTGCTTAAACCAAGATGAGTGATTTTTCTCCTTTGTGATTAAGACTACCATGAGAAGACTGTTAGAGGATTCTGTTTAGGGTTTCCTATTGGCCAGCTATGCCAATAGGAAACCCTATGAGCATAAGAAGTGGCAAAGGGACAGCAAGAGAAGGGGAGGGCCCACCAAATCTTTATCACATTTCAAAATACGGGCTTCTTATGTGGTATATATAGAAACTACCTTCTTACCCTTTAAGTTCCCCTTTGACAAAAACTGCTGTGGACAGCATGACATGCACAACAGGAATTACAGTGGCATCTCTAACACTTTCTCTTGCGCTCTTTTTGAGCTCCTAGAAGTTAGCAAGGAAAACCCACAACTAAAACCCAAAATGCATCTGATGAGATGGATGCTTTAGAATCAAGTGCCATCTAGAGAACAGGGCTTTGCACTAAATACAAACACAAGCAAATGTTTATTAAACACAACGTGCCAGGCACCGGTGCTGAGTCCTGTATGCGTTACTGCACTTGAATATTCACAGCAACCCTACACAGAGGTACTTTTATTAGCCCCTTTTTACAGCTGAGGAAACTCTAAAATAGAGAGGTTGAATAACTTGCTCAAGACCACACAGCTGGGAGTGGAAGACACAAGTTCATGGAGACCCACCTTAGAGAAGCATGCTTAACCAATCCCACAATTTCAGAAGTCTTCAGGCGTGACCTTTCACTCAACACAAAACGCTCTTCTGAGCACTTCTGACAGAACAGTTTCTACTTGAATACTGCCAGTGACAGGGAGCTCTCTCTTCTTCTTTAGAGCATTTTAACCATTAGAACATTTCTTAAAATGAGAGCAAATCTCTCTTCCTGTGTTCCTAGTCCGGGAGCCACCCGGACCACATCTATTTCTTCCATGTGGCAACACTTTCAAGATCTGAAGAAAACGTCTGTGCCTCCTGGACCCCAAAACTCTCCCTTTTCCAGGCAAAATGCTTCTATTTCCTCTTTCTTAGGGAGTTGATTACATAGTACAGGACATTCTTCCTTGGGTTTGCTTCATTTCATTAAATCATTCAACAAGTAGCTATTGATCATAACATTGCCTCTCAACCTATGAAATGAATACTTTCCCCCTCTAACATAGGGTCATTGGGTTTAGTGTCTTAGAGCTAAAGGAGGAACTTAGGGAGAGCTCTTTCATGAAGTGTGTGTATTGGAGGGATGGGGGAATGCTAGCAGGTCAGAGTGGGCTGAAATATGAGGAGGGAATGAAGGTGGGAATGTAAAAAAAACTTTCTTAAGAAATTTTGCCTTAAAGGGGAGATGGGAGATGAGGTAGTAGTGAAAAGGTTAGTAAAATTTAGAGAGGACTTATTTTAAATGGTGGAAACTTAAGGATGCTTAAATGTTAATAGGAAGGGTCCAGGGCAGGGAAAGTGTTTAAGATTTAAAAGAGAAATTGAAATGTTTTAAAGTTCTACTATTGTTTCCCCATTTGCTCCCTCAGTGGATTCCCTTTACCCAAATTACCTGTGTTGAGTATCAAATCCTAAGAGAGAGAAAATACATGTCATTTGCCTGGAAAAGGGAGAATTCCAAGGTCCAGGGGGCACTGGTGCTTTCTTCAAATCTCAAAGGCCAATAAAACACACGGAAAAGCAAAACACAGTACAGCTGCTGCCTCAGGAAACAGCTCACAGGAGATGCCCACAGGGATGCTCAGTGCACTTGTTTTTAATGCTTCCTCCCAGGCCAGTGAGAGAAGCCCCCAGCCATGTGGGAAAGCTGGTTTCTCCACTGAAACTGGGCCCCATGGCCAGTGGTCCTCCTGACTCCCGCCAACATGGTAAATAAACTCTCTGAGTTTGAAAACACCAAAGAGAGTTTTCCATTCACATGTCTCAAAGATGAGCCCCCAAACCATGATTTTTCACTTGCAGGGATTTTTCTTGTAGTTTGCTCACTGAGCATGTCAAGACTAACACAGATGTCTGTTGTTTCTGCCCACACAGCATCCAGCTCCCCTTTCCAGGTAACAGCACCCCAATTTTCCTTTGGGAAACCACCTCTCCCCCTCTCAGAGATAGCTTCAGGGATAGTCACATGACCCATGCCTGGCCAATCAAAGCATTTGTCTTGGCCACAATGATTGGGTCAGGGATGAGCACAGACACAAACCAAGCCAATGAATGAAACTCAATCCAGGACTTTTAGTGAAACCGTACGCGAATAGGATACATGCTTGACCACAAGAGAAGAGCCTGATGGAAAACGAAGCTAACACGGAGGAAAGCAGAGTCTAGACTCTAGAGCAAAGAAAAACTGATATGGGTGATATGATTTGAGTCACTGGGTCCTGCCATACTGGAAATAAGACCTACCCTAGAACATTTCAACTTCAGAGCCAATTTTTCTTAAGTCAATTTGAATGGGATGGCTGTCACTTCAAATTGAAAGAATTCTGACAAATAGCAACATTAAGCTCTTAGAAAAGCCCAGAGGCTGTAAGCCCAAGTCCTTCAACCAATCCTGAATTGCTGATGAACCACCATTTATTAAGTGCTTTCTGTGTGCAGAATCCTGTGCCCCACTCTTAAAAAGGTACCGTACCATTATATATAGCACTTCATCTCTGTCTTCAGGTGAGATAAGATAAAACATTCAGAGGACAAGGTACCCAGTGCCTAGGAGGGATAGATGAGTGGAAAGATTAGCATGTTCTAGGGCAGTGATGGCAAACCTATGACCAAATCCATTTTTTTGGTTGATTTTTCTTTGTTAAATGGCATTTAAATATATAAAATAAATATAAAAAATATAAGTCTTTGTTTTACTATGGTTGCAAATATAAAAAAATTTCTATATGTGACATGGCACCAGAGTTAAGTTAGGGTTTTTCAAAATGCTGACACGCCGAGCTCAAAAGGTTCGCCATCACTATTCTAGGGCAATCAGAGAAGGCTTTCTGGAGGAGGCACACCTTCAAGGACTGGAGAAGCAATGAGAGGGGTCATGTTGGGTCTAGAGGTTCATGTGAGAGGGAAATGTGTTCTTCAATGATTTTTTTCTTCTTGTCCCCCTACCTCTGTAGGAAAAAGCCTATCATTATTTTGATGGTTACCATTAAGTCAACACCTTCATATAATACCCTTAGTCTTCCCCCTTTTTGGCAATGTCTGTTGGTTTCCTACCATGAGGAATATTGAAATTAGCCAGCAGCGTCAATTTTTCTTCTTTCCCTTTCCTCTAGCACAGCGGTTCTCAACCTGTGGGTCGCGACCCTTTTGGCGGTTGAACAACCCTTTCACAAGGGTTGCCTAAGACCATCCTGCATATCAGATATTTACATTACGATTCATAACAGTAGCAACATCACAGTTATGAAGTAGAAACGAAAATAATTTTATGGTTGGGTCACAACATGAGGAACTTTATTTAAAGGGCCAGAGGTTGAGAACCACTGCTCTAGCATCTAATTTGAAAAAAACAAACACAACTATTTTTTTCCAGTTAACACTTAAAGGCAATCTATGAACTTATATTTTTCATATACACACTCCATTCTCTCCTAATTTTTACCACTTGCACTATATCTGCATCAACAGAACACACAACCATTAAGTATTATCTCCCTCATAGCCATTAATTAGTGTGAGTTCTATAGGTGACTATAAATTTAATGCTCACTCCTAGCCTTTATGTTTATACCTCTCTCGTCAGTTTGGTTGCCTGCATCTTGCTTTCTAGTAAATTTCTCTGGAAAGGCTCATAGGAAATAATATTTTCCTGGTTCCTGCATGTTCTTCATAGTTGACTGTATATGAAAATCCTTGGTTCTCTTTTTCTTTTCCTGAGAATCTTGAACATGTTGCTTAGTTGTCTTCTGGTACAGAGTGCTGCTGTAGAAGTCTGATGCCACTCTAATTTGTTTCCCCTTATAAAGCACTTACTCTTTTTTGTCTGAATGACCAATAGGAGTTTTCCATTTTCTTTAAAGTCCAATAATTTTACTAGAGCATGTCTTAGGTTGACTACTAGTATTCTGGGTTGATTTTCCCAGGTGTGTGGTGTACTTCTTCAAGATGCAAATTCAACTCTCTCATATTTCAGCGGGGTGGGAGGAGAATCTGTTTTTAATATTTGTTCTTTTCCACTGCTTTGGATTTCTTCTTTAGGGGCTTGTTTGTATGTTGGATCTTCTTTGCCTGTCTTCTATACCTACCACTTTTTCTGGTTACCCATACAGCATTTAAAAAAATAATAAAGCTCTTCCTGCATTTCTGACTTTATATTTTTGCCTCCCCATCTTCTATTTGCCTTATGCTATTACCCATGGTGTTCATGTACTCTTTTTATTTCTTCTATTTAGTTACTTCTCCTGAAATATTTTTTCCTTTCATAAGCCATCCTTTCAAATCTTCTTTTTGTCTAACAATTTCACGTTTGCTGTTGTTTCAAAGCATCTGTTGATTTAATTTCTTTTAGCTGTTTTTAAAATATTAAGTTTCAGTGTTCAGATGTTTTATGGTTCTGTCTTTGTGGCATGCATTCATTACCTGTAGGAATGCTATTCTGCTTACTTTTTTCTTATAATAGCTTTCTATGAGAT